GACTCAGCTGCGGCGCATTTTTTTCGTCCACCATGGCGCGGGGGGGGAAGCGGAAAGCGGCACCGCCGCCTGTCGACTTCAAGGTGCGCGCGCCGCACGGGCGGTGCTGACGCGCAGAAATCAAAGCAGCGGCTTGGGAGTGGCCGGCAGGCCGCGACCAATGCGACGGACACGTCGTTCCGCGCGCGGACCATCACGCTGCCGCAGCAATCCGTTAGCGTCGACCGGACGCACGCGCCCACGACGCGCCGGAAGCAGACGCTCCAGGACCTCGTACCGCTCACACGGCACCATGCACCGGGCGTGCGGCGGGCGGCGGTAGACGGCCTTGCGGAGCTCGCCGACACGTACCCGGCGCTTCTCGAGCAGGAGACGAACGCGATGGTAAGCGTGGTATTTCCGCTCATCGGCGACGACGACACGCATGTACGCGCGGCGGTCGCCACGTACCTTGAGCACCTCCGCGAGGAACTCCCGCACGCGCGGTTCGCCGTGTTTGCTTCGCTCATCCTCCTGTACACGACGTCGGCCCTCTCGCACATCCACACGGCGGTCCGGCTCGACGCGCTGCGCGTGCTCATGCTGCTCCTCGACACGGACAGCGCCGCGGCGACGCACGGATGGGAGTATGCGCTGCAGCCGGAGGATGCGTCCGGGGATGCGCACGGCCAGCGCGTGCTCCAGGCGCTCTTTGCCGTGCTGGGCGTCGCGTCCAGCGCCCACGCGCGCCGCGGCGGCGTCTCGTCCGCGGCGGGGACCGCGGCGTCCGTGGACCTCGCGCCGCCGCAGCGGCTGCAGGTGCTCCGCGCACTCGGTGCGTTTCTCCGCGCCGCGACCGCGGACGAGGACGACGGGGTGCTCCCGCTGTGGTGCTTTGCGGCTGCGTTCTCCTCCCCGAGCGACTGCGAGGCGTTTGAGCGGCAGCGCGCGGTTCCCCGGGACGGCGTCTGGCTCGAGCGCACGCTCATGGGCGCCGGGCGCGCGGCTGGCGTTGCGGGCGTGACACTGCGGGATGCGCTCGTCGTGGGCGCGGGCGCGGGCGCGGGCGCCGCGGGTGCGGCCCTGCGGGATGCGCCCATGGCAGACACGGGCGCCGCACAGCCACCACCGGCGTCCGCGCGCGAGCAGCTGACGCAGGTGCTGCACGGGCCGCTTCTCGCCATGCTCCTTGACGCGCTTCCGTCCGCGCTTACCCCCGGCGGCGATGCACAAGGCGTCCACGCGGACGTGCTCGCCGAGGTGCTCGCGATCGCCGTACGTCTGTGGCGCGCGCTCGTGAAGGAGTCACGTGTCTCGCACACGGCGCCGCTGCGCCAGCTGCTGCAGCGACTCGCGCCGCATTTTCCCGCCACGCACGACGCGTCGGGCGCAGACGGCGCGCAGCAGCTGCGCCTGAACGCCATGTACTGCGAGCTCGTGGCCCTAGGGGCGATGGCGGGCGGCGGCGCGCGCCGCATGCAGCTGCAGCGCACGCTGGACTATCTCGTGGGACTGCTGCGTAATGGCGGACGCGCGCTGGATGCAGACACCTATGCATCGCTCGTGCCGACGTTTTGGCTGCTGCTGGCCGGCGACGGTGCGCGCGGATGCGGCCAGGACGTCGGGGACCGAAGCAGCGGGGGACGGGGCCGGGCGACCCTGGGGGGGCACGCTACGAACGAGGATCGCGGTAAGGGGGCCGTCGGAGACAGAGACAGCGCTCGCGCAACGGCTGCGCAAGAAGAGCTTCTCGCGGCGCTCCTCGCGCATGCCTCCTCCCTGCCCGCGCACGCGCCGACGCAGCCGATTGCATTCGCATTTCTCTCGCGCATCAGCTCGGTAGGTCCGCTTGCGGTTTACTCACTGGCAGCTGCACACATTTGCCACACTCCGCGTGCGCTTGGACGTGATCCACGCGCCGGCGCTGCTCGGCGCGTGGCAGGCTTGGATGCTGTCGCTCCCGCGCGTCCTCTGGGAGGCGGCCGCCGCGGTCGCCGCGCGCAAGGACGCGTCCACGCGCAAGGCGCAGCTCGCGCTTGCGACGCAGGTGCTTGCCTTTTTGCACCGCACGGCGATGGACGCCGACGGCGTCCTCTTCACACCGCAGGTATGCGTCTTGCGCAGCACCCCTGACGGCAGACGATCGCTGCGCTTGCCCCGCGCCTGCGCCCGATCTTTACCGTGCAGCATCCGAAGCGCGGCGCCGTGCCCGGCCCCGTTGGCCGCCTCCCTTATGATGCCCAGCAGTATGCACGCGCGATTGCGTACGCGCTGCCGATACCATGCGTGGGGGTCCTCCCGCGGGACGGTGGCGCAGGCAAGGGCGCCTCGGCAGAGGGCGCCTCGGGGGAGGCGGGGGACGCCTGATAGCGAACCATGGCGGCCGGGGGGGGGGTGGCTGCTGCTATAGGAACCGCGTTCGCGGGCGGGGAAACTTGATAGAGGAGACCTGCTGCACCGCGGCGCGCGTGCGCCGCCACGGGACGCGGCATGCGGATGCGGCCATACACGACGTGTCGCGCCGCGGCGCCGCGGGCGCGCGGGCGCATGGCCTATCTCGTCCGTGTGCGTGCGCGCGGGCGTGACGTGGCAGGCGCCCACGGCCGCACCAATGAAATGCCGACTGCCCGCGCGTGTGCGCATGTCTCCACATGCGCCCGCGGCTGCGGGCCGCCATTTTGACGCAGGACCATGGCGAAGCGGTACGCGACATTCGAGACAGGTACGCCATACACGCGCGGCGGCTCATGTCAGTGAATTTCTATGCGGGTGGCACGCTGAACCGCGCGTCGTGGCTCCGGGAGGTGAGTTTGTATTTAAACCGGGCCGCATCGAGCCCAGACGCGACGTACATCCTCCTCTCGCACGGCAACCCGCTCGTGCTCGCAGGCGACGCACGGATACAGCGTGTCGCTCGCGTCGGCTGGGACACCGTTGCGGACGCCATCATGGCCACCGTGCGGCGTGCGAATCCCGCTGCGCAGGACCGCGCTGTGTTTGGGCCCGCGGCGTATGGGCTGTCGTGTGACGTGCAGGGCGACGCGGCCAAGTACTGGACCAACAGCACCCAGGGCATGGTCGCCCCGGGCCTCTCGCTTGCATTTCTGGGGATAGAGCAGGACGCGGACGCCGCGGGCGTCGGCGCGACCGATGCATGGTCGTCGCCGGCAGACACGGACGGCAAGGTGCTGCAGGTGCCCGTCGGCCGCCCGCTGTTCGCCCTGTCGCTTTCGTTCCGTGCGCCTGGCGCGGCGCAGCCGACGCCGTGCGAGACGCTCTGCGAGCGCCTGCTGCACGGCGAGGGGGGCGGACAGACGCTCGAGGAGCTCGACATGCGCATGGTCGTCATGACCGGCGCGCTGGCGCCGGACGATGCCGCCACCGTCGCCTATGCACGGACACTGCTCGATTGGAACGAGCGCGCTGTGTACTGTCCGGGATGTGGCGCGCAACAGTATGCCGCGTGTGGCGGGCACAAGCGCGCATGTGCGTCGACACTCCAGCGTCTGCATCCGACGGCCAGCGTCGTGGCGGGGCTCAGCGGGTCCGCGCAGCCGTTGGGGGAAGCGTTCTGTGCGTCCGCGCGGTCCCTGCAAAACTACACGTATCCGCGCTCGGACCCTGTTGTGATCGCTGGGATCCTGCGTGCGGACCACGGCGCAGCGCTTCTCGCGCGCCAGAAAATGTGGCCCCCGGGCATGTATTCGTGCATTGCGTACGTGGGCGGTGATGCATCTGCTTACGGCAGCGGGTTCGTCGAGGCAGGTGAGTCGCTCGAGGAGGCTGTGCGGCGCGAAGCGTTCGAGGAGACGGGCATTCCCGTGCGCCAGGTCGCGTACCACAGGTGCGCATGGCGCCGCCGGGCATGCCTGACCGTAGCTCGCAGCCATGGCCGTTTCCCGCGAACATGATTATCGGCGCGTTTGGGACAGCGACGCCCGGCTCGACAGACACGCGCCTCGACTTGGACACGGAGCTGGAGGATGCCTTTTTCGTGTCGCGCAATGATGCGCTTGTGCTCGTCGACATCGCTGCGCGGCGCGCAGCAGGGGAGAAGAGTGATGCCAAGGCGCCCGTGCGAAATGGCCAGTCGGTGTTGTACGTGCCTGTGTGCGCGGTGTCCTCACCGCCGCCAGCATCCCGCCACCGTGGGCGATTGCGCATGTTCTTGTCGCGGCGTGGGCGCGCGGCGAGGCGCTCTTGGGCGGGAAGATGTAGGTCGGGGTCGCTTGGCACCCAGGAGAAGAGGTGGCGCGAATCCCTGGTGCCATTCCCAATAGGGGCGTACAGCCGCCGCGCGTCTTTTTTCCCCCTCCGACGATGTTGGGCTCCCGTGTGCTGTACGCCCGGTCGGCGTGGAAGGGTGCGTGGCGCACGTGTGGGGGCAGTCGTGCGGGATGTGGCGCAGTCGCCCGTGTCCGCCGGGTGACTGCGCACGCACGCGTCCGGACGCGCCAGTCGCTAACACGGCACAGGCCCCTTCTTCGTCCCGTTTCCCAACCTGCAGCAAGCCTTGAAGAACAATACGCCGATTCGCACGAACGCACGCAGCTGCACGATCCTGCCGAACTTTGTCGGGTGTGTTGCCGCAGCGTGCGGACGGACGCTCATGCGCTCCCAGGCTCAGGTTCCTTGTCCACAACGGCAAGCACCACATCCCCGTGGCCGTCACGGAGGAGATGGTCGGACACAAGCTCGGCGAATTTGCCCCGACGCGCAAGCGCTTCAGCTATCGGTGAGCAGGGCGGTGGCCCTGGCCGCAGTAACTGACCCGCGCAGGCTCACGAAGAACAAGTAGTCGGCAAGATACCAATGCACTGGGGTTGTGGATGTGGCGCAGGGCGTAAACGTATGGACGCGGCGTTAGCATTCCGCTTTACGGCCCCGGAATTGGCGCGTGGGTGCCCCCCCACCCCGCCGTGTGCCACGGACGCAGAGCGGATGGCGTCGGCGGGCAGCGCGGACGGCGTCGTGCCCCAGCACACGTTAAGTATGTACAGGAGTAACCTATCCTATTGAATGGCCTGATAGCTCAGAGGAACGAGTGGCGCTTTCCGGTAGGCACGGTTGTCTGAAAAGACTGGCTGGCGCAGGTCCCGGGTTCGACCCCCGGTCGGGTCTCACTTTTTTATGCATTTTCTACACGTCTGCGAACCGCATCACCGCCTCGCAGACTTTGTCGGTGACAACCGCTGCAGGGCAGTGTTCCGCCTCGACGAGCACCACATCCGGCACGGGGCCGCCGTCCCGTGGGGTGGCGCATGGGGTGCGCACGGGTGCACCGCGTTCCACGTCGCCGTCGACAAACATGCCTGCGTGCGCCTCGCGGAACGCAGGCCACACAATCTCGTCAAAATAGAACGGCGGATCCTCCCAGACCTCGCCGTCCTCAAGTACATAGTTGGGCCGGTGTGTCCTGCGATACAGCATGGTCTCGCGGCTCACGCGGAGGAATACGCGCACGCCGAGCAAGTCGCGCACACGCGCGTCGTACAGGGTGAGGAACCCTTCCACAATAAGAACAACCACCTTGCCGGCGCGCTGGCCACGGCGGCACACCACGAGAGGATGCTGCGTGGACGCGTGAAATCGTTCGCGCCACGCTGTGACGCGGTCGTCTGGCAGTGAGCATGTATATTTTGTCCGTCGGTCCTCGCTGCTCTGGAAATCGGGCGGAAGGCAGTGATGTTTCTGCGTGAAGCGAATAACGCGTTCCAGCGCGCGGTAGTCGGTCTGAAACGTGAGATCGCTCGTTTCCTTCACGCACAGATCCATGCGGAGTGTCCCAGTCCGCGACCTGCCACTGCTTGTTCCATGGGATTTGGTCCTTGCGGGGCGCGAAGTCGTCCTGATGCAGCACATGTACAGCAGCGATCGGCGATGCTGTGGGCGCTGGTGGCGGATGCAGAATGGCCAGTAGGTTCTGGACGAGGGTGGACTTCCCCGAGCTCGTGGGTCCGCTACCAGTCAGTGCGCCATCCCCCGCACATACGCGATCCCGATTACGAGCACACCAGTGCGGGCCATGGCAAAAGTAAGACGGTTTTACGGCGTCGGGGGACCGGTGAAAGTGGGGGACGCCGCGAGGTGCGGGGGTTGGAAGGGGGAAAATCTGGGAGATCGGGGCGCCGGCATCCGGGAAATCGGGGTCCGGCTGTGGGGGACGTCGCCGGGGGGGGAGACGCGCTGTGGGATCCTGCAGGCCGCGCAGACTGCATGGCCTACAGATGGAGCGCGAGGCGCACTACGATTTAAGCTTCTTGCTCTTGGGCGCGCCTTCGTCGGAATACGACGCGGCGTCGTCATCGTCATCGTCGCTGGACCCCTCCGATGGGCTGCCGTTGTCGTCCTCGTCCTCGTCCTCAAAGTCCTCATCTGGGGGTGAGCAGAGACCGCGCCAAACGACGCACCCTCGTCCTCTTCTTCGTCGTCGTCACCGTCCTTGACATCGTCGTCGTCCAGGAGCTTCTCCGCGGAAATGCCGGTCGCCTCGTCCATAAGCTCGTTCTTGATGCGGATCTTGCGCTCGGCAAAGAAGTTATTCAGACCATCGAGTTCCTCGCGGTTGATGGACTGGAATGTGTGGTCAACGCCGGACCGCGTCATGGCGCGAATGTCAAACGTCTTCGCAGACGCGACGGCGCCGCCGACGCGGCTGAAGATGAGTTGGTGGATATCCGCATAGGGGATGAGGAGCGGCTGTTTGGACACCCAGAACATGCTCTTGTTCAGCGGGTACAGCGTGCCGTCGTTCGCCTTGATGTTGCAGCGGACGCACTCCTGGCCCATGCTGTTCGTGTAGCCGGATGGCACAGACACCTTCTGGTGCGAGAGGACACGGAAGAGGTTGGTGACGATGCGGAACGTCGGCTCCTCGTACCGCTTCTTGAGTTTTCCGTCGTACTTGGTCTGGATCGTCTCCTCATCCAGGTTCAGCTCCGCGTCCATCTCCTCGTCTCGCGGGAACTGCAGCACAAGATACGGATACCGTGTCTGCCCCTGGCGGATGGGCGGCTGCAGCGCGACGACGAAGAGCACGTGGATGTCGTCCAGCTTCGGCAGGAGAAAGAGCTGGGTGATGGAGCTGTACAGGATCTTGTAGTCGTATGTCTTGCCGCGCAGACGCAGGAACTGCGGGAAGAGGTCGATGTCGTAGCGCCCACGTGGCGTGAGCACCAGCACCTCCTTGAGCACGAGGATGCCGTCTCCGGCGACCTCGCCGATGTCGGCACGGGCCTTGATCGCGTTGTGGAACGCGAGCGCCGCGCTCTCCTCCTCCTCGAGCCCCTCTTCCTCGTCCGCCTCCGAGGTGTCCTCCGCGTCCACGCCCTGCTCCTCCTCCTTCACCTCCTTGCTGTCGTGTGTGCCGCGCTCTTCCGCGTCCTCCTCCGCCTCGCCAACGGCGAGCGTGCCGTCGTCGCTGTCGTCGCGCTCGACCTGGCCCGGAATGTAGAGGCGCATTTCGACCAGCTGGTCACTCCGGTTCTTCTTCGGCCCACTGAACGGGAGCGCACCTGCGCTCGACGATGCGCCCGTATTCTGCTCCGGCTGCTGCTCATTCGGGTTGAGGAATTCCATGCTCACTTCCGTGCGTCCCGCAATGTTGCTGTTCGCAATGTTCGCGAGTGGGAGCGCGAACGCGAGCTTGTTCCGCACGAGAAACTTCATGTCCTGGTCGTCGATCTCCGCGGACCCCCAGTTCCAGCCGCGCGTCGACACCTCGACGACGTCCAGCGGCTTGTCGTAGTACTCACGCAGGATCTGCGCAAGCTGCTCCTGGTCGTGGCGCTGGAAGTTTTGGAAGATTGTGCGCTGCCCGTTTTCTGCAGCATCCTCGCCTTTCAGCTCGACAGTGAGCTGGAAGTGGCGCGCGGCGCTGTGCGTCAGTGAACCGTCCACGCGGCATTCACGCACCGGACCCATTGGAAGCTCGCCATCTTGTCCGACGGGATCGTTACAGTGACGCCGTCCTCGGACGGCTTCCACCCGAGCCCCGCCGCAGAGAACCGAATTCTGCCGAGCACCTTGCCGAGCCCATGGTAGATGTTGTCGAACTGGGTCGTCATGGCGGCGCTTCGCCCGTGGCAGGGAGAGAGGCGACGCGTCGCGCAATGGGCTCGTATGTTTAGTCAGCTGGGGGTGGGGGGCAGGGGGAAAGGGAGAGAGCACCGAGTGCCAGCCGCACGCGCAAGTATCCGCCAGCGGGGGACAGAAACAGATGTCCACGCTACAAGCCGTGCCGTGTGCGGAATCTACAACGCTCAGAGCGAGACAGCGAGGGCAAGAGAGTACGTAACGCGAGACAGATCTCATAGAAACACAATCCCACAACGCGCTCCCTAGCCACCTCCCCCGCGGACCGCGTCTCCTCCTCCTACGGTATATACAAGCGGGAAAACGCCATGACGGGCGTGCGGCACGTGGGGCAGAGCTGTGTCGGGCGGACACCCGGCGCGCTGACGGTGAGGACGGAATGCTGGTGCGATGCGAGCGTGCCGCGGCAATCGTCGCAGAGGGCGAGGCATCGGCACGGCCAGCACACAACCGTGCTTTCGTCAGCACGCGCGACATCCACACGCACCGCTCTTCAGCACAACACACGACGCAGAGGCGCGCGAGCGCCTCGGGCGGCGGCATCGCGTGGCCCACGACACGTCGCCGCTCCTGGAGGAGTTTGAGCAGAGCGCGCTGTGTGTGGGCATCGGAGTCCGTCTGGCCCACCTGCGCAAAGGGATTGGGGAGCAGGGAGCTAAGCGTGGTAGCGGGCTGCCAGGCAGGCGGCGCCGGCGCCGGCGCCGCGCACCGGTCGCGGAGCTCGGCAATCTGGCGGTAGGCGCTCCGTGTCAGCGGCGGGGTATGGTCGGGACGCATGAGGTGCTTGAGAAACAGGTCCCCGGCCGGGGCCGTGTCGGACTGCTCCACGGCGAGCGGCACCTGCGCAAGAGCGAGGAGCTCGACGGGATCGAGGTCGTCCGCGCCGCGCAGGGCCCACGCGGGCGGGGCGCGCTGCGTCTGGTGCACGCCTTCGCGGCGGCACGCCTGGCGACGCTGGAAGAGCTGGAGGCGCTGGAGGAAGGCCTCGGCCTCCGCGCGGCGCTGTGACGCCTGCTGGAGACCCTCGCTGCGCTCGCGCTCCCCGTTGGTGCCGTGCCAGAATAGGCGCACGGTCCGCGGGAGGCCCTGCAGGACCGCGGGGAGCGTCGGGAGGTAGTCCGCCAGCCCGCTCGTCGCGCGTGCAAGGAGCTCCTGCGCGAGATCGGCAAGCTCCCAGACAAAGTTCCAGCGCTCGCGCAGCTTGTCGGCGCCGCGCACGACGCCACCCAGCTCGATCCCGTGCTTCTCGAGGACGACGCGCACGTCCCTGACCTCCTTGCCGAGGCCGTTCACGCCGAACGCGTCCATCTCCTCGTAGTCGTCCATGCTGTTCTCCACAACCGTGTCCCCGTTCGGAAGGAGCTCCACGTACGTGCTCCGCGGCATCTCGAGCGCCTTCACCTCACACGCGAGGCCCGTGTGGTGCGTCGCATACAGACACGCGGACCCGATTTTAAGCACCGCCAGCGAGAAGTCGTCCGTCCACCGCGGCAGGTTCGACCGCGAGAAGAGCAGGCGCGAGCGGTCCACGCTCCCGTCCACAAGATACATCGTGAGCGCATGCAGCCCGACGGTGAGCACGATCACCGCGATCACAAGGATCTCCGTGAGGCGGCTCGCGCTATGCAGCACAGGATACTCGGAGGACATCGCGATGGTGCTCAGGTAGTGCAGCGTCGAGAGCACGCCGAGCACGGACGTGAACGTGAGGCGCGAGAGCATGGGGCTGCGGTCAAAAGGGCGCCGCGCACGCCGGCTACGCACGGCTTCACCGAGAGGATTACATTCATGCCCAGCAGCTCCACGACCTTGAATATCACAATGAGGAACACGTGCGCGTTCGGCTGGAACTCGCGCGAGGTGGCGTGGATGTGCAGCGTGAACGCAAAGCTCACCAGGTTAAATGTGGACGGATCGTCCTGCGCGCCGCTGCGGTCAGCCGTGCCCGCGCATCGGCGCACATCAACTCCAGGCTGCGCACGGTTGTGCCGACGCACTGCGCAACACACCCCGCCAGGAACGTGTGCCAGAACAGCACCGGCACATCCACCGGCGCCGTCGAGGGCGGTACCGCGCGCCGCAGGATCCGCAGCCACGGCTCCGCGGACGCCGTGTGCGTGTCTGCGCACATCGCCTGGATCAGTCCCCACAGTGCGCGCGCCAAGAACACAACCGCCGGCAGCCGCATGAGCGCGCGCTGTGTCGCCGAGACGCGTGCAGGGCGCCCATGCGGAGTGCACACATGCTGGATGCGGTTCACTACAACAACCTGCGGTCAGGCACGCCGCGCATCCAGCGAACCATGGCGAGCAGCAGTGCAGTGTATCGCGAGAAAAAGAACTGGACCGGGCTCTCCGCCACAGACGAGAACACATCGCCCGTCACCGTGTCGTCGCCCGCATGTACGCGCCCGCTTGCAGTCGCGTCCATCTCACACACGTCGTGCCAACCCAGCGGTCCGCACAGGAGATGCCATGCACTGTGGCAACGATTATCACACGCGCGCCGCGGTGTCGCGGGGGTGATTATCTCCTCGACTCGCGGACGTAATCGCTCGTGTCATTGCCCGACGCGCGCTTCCGCCGCAAGGGCAGTGGCGGAGGAGGCCCGGGAATGATGCAAGTGTGTGGGACGCGCGCTCCGCCCGTGGGTGCGCACCCAGCATCCTATGAGAGGCTGTGTGGGTTCGGGCGGGTCATGTCGTGCTGTGACAGAGTTGGTATATGAAATGCATGTCGCGGTCGGTGTCGCCATCGCCTCGGCGCGTGCTGCACGCTGCGGCCTAATTCTCCCGCCACTGGAACCCGCACTGCGCTTCGGTACACTTTAGGAAGGTGGTCACTGAGGGGTGAGCCCCCCCGTCGCTGGCGCCACGTACTGGGCTCGTCCGCGGAGCGGATCTGTAGCTGCATGAAATACGCGCGTCCGTTTTCGCACTTGGGGCACGTTGCTGCACGTCAGCACGCTTCGCGCGCCGCACGCACCGTCGGTGCTGTCCACATTATTCCAACTGTCCTCGCCACCCATCACGTCGTCAACCTGCTTGCGCTCGAGATGCAGCCGCGACGTGATCTGCTGGTGCATCGGGAACTCGAACGGACATGTTGGGCACGTCCATTTGTTGTCCCCCGTCTCTGCCGACGGCAGCACGGTCACCACATTCGCACAATTCGGACAGAAGAGCATGCTGTGTGGTGGCGCTGGTAGGCGCAGGGAAAAAATGCACGCACGACACGCGTACAGAAGGGTACCCGCGTGTGATAGGGAGCTATGTGGGGACGTATTTGGCAAGGAGTGCTCCTATAGCTCAGCTGGCAGAGCGCAAGACTGAAGCCGGAAAAGCGTGTCGCTTCACCAGTGGATTCAACAGTCCTTCTTGAGGTCACCTGTTCGAACCAGGTTGGGAGCAATTTTTTTTGCGCCAAAAGGCGCGGCTGTGCCAGACGGCCTCGCCTGCGCACTGCACAGATCCCCGAGTCGGGCGGGAGGCAATGCGCAGCGGGGTACCTTGTTCGCTACGCATGTTCCGGACCGCTGCGTCGCCTCTGCCGGCGCGCACCGGTGCGTCTCGCGGGGTGCTACAGTGCGTCTTCTAAGGCGCTGCGGGCGTGCCTTTCGGAGCTCTGCGCCGCATCTTCCGGGGCGCCTCGCACGCTATGCACCCCCGGACACCCCACGCGGCACACGCCGCGCAGTGCTCGCCACCCCGTGCATGGCTCCGAATACGCATGCCCGACTTCGTACAACATTGTGCGCTCCTATAGCTCAGCTGGCAGAGCGCAAGACTGAAGCCGGAAAAACGCACCACATTACTGGTGAATTCCTCAGTCCTTCTTGAGGTCACCTGTTCGAACCAGGTTGGGAGCACTTATTTTTGGTTGTGCATTTTTCGCTGCGCGTGTCGTGACAACCATTTTGTCTCGCGTTGCGCCGCGTTCAGCATGTGCATTGCACTTTGGACCACTGTCGACCCGGAATACAGTCTGTACGTCACGCGCTCTTGTCCCGGTGCCCCAACCAACACGCGCAGCATCCTCGCGGATAACAGGGACGAGTTCCTCGCGCGGCGCGCCGTCGATGCCGCCTGGCACGGACAAGGCGAGACGATGGTCCTGTCGGGGCGGGACGTGGAGGCCGGCGGCACCTGGTTCGGGGTAGCAAGAAATGGTGCATTCGGCGTCCTCACCAACTACACCGAGTACGCGCCGTCGAAACCGCGCGCGGATGGGCAGCCGTTCCTATCGCGCGGCGAGCTTGTCAGCAAGTGGCTGCAGGAAGCCGGCGCATGCGATTCACCCAGAGATGTCATGGCACCCTTCCTAGCGGCGCTGGACACGCGCAAGGACCTGTACAATGGCTTTAATCTACTCATTGGCGACGTGGGCGCGCCGGGCGCCAGTGACATCCATCTGGGCTACCTGACGAACCGCGGCGACGACCGGTTCAGTGGGGAGACATTCCCCGCGACGGAGCCTGTGAATGGGATGAGCAACAGCACGCTAGCCACGCCGTGGGCCAAGGTTGACGAGGGCGCATCACTGATGCATGCACTGGCGCTGCGGCGCACACACTCTGGCGACGCGCGACAACAGTACGGCGCGCCGTCGTCGTGCGGGATGGATGTGGCCGAGGATGTATTTCGCATTCTCAGGTACGTCATGCGCACTTCCGACGGGACTAGCGGGGCGTGTAGGCGGGAAGGATCCGCGGCGCGTATCCACGCCGCTTATCCACACCCCGCTTCACGTCCCTATCCACACCTGCGCCACATTCCCTCTCCTGGCGCCCTGACACACGCAGCACCACGTCCGGCCTAGTGACAAAGCGCGAAGAGATGCAGAAGACAGTACATGTGGCTCCATTCGAGGTGCCAAGCAGCGCTGACCATACGCGGCTCGAGCATCCTCCTGCGAATGCAGGACGCGTCGGCTGGTATGGCACGCGGACCGGGACGGTGCTCTTGGTGACGCGCGAAGCGCCGCGGCGTGCAACGTTTGTGGAGCGCGACATGTACACACTGGACAGCGCCGGACGGCCGCAGCGCGCGAAAGGACCCGCGCATGAGCGGCGGTACGAGTGGGCGCTGGACAGGTAGTGCGGTGGCTCGCGGCGGAGCGCCGCAGAAAGGGGGGGGGGGAGAGGAAAGGGGGAGGGGAAAGGGGGAGAGTAAAGGGGAAGGGAAAAGGAAGAGGGCCAATGGGAAGGGCAAAAGAGAAAGGCAAAGGAAAAGGGAACCGGGCACACTCGCTGCGCTCCGCGCAGCCGCGAAGCAAATCCACAGAATCTTACATTAGCACGGCCGCCAAAGACGGGATAGAGAGAGTGGTGGGAAGAAGGGCGGCGCCCTGCTACAGAGACGCAACCTGGCGGACAGTCAGCACGGCGACGCGGCCATCAATGGAGATGTTATGGTTGATGCCTGTCGTCAGCGGAGGACACCCACGCACATACCGCGGTTGCCAGGGGAAAGGAGACCCGTCTGCCAGTGCACAGACGCTCTCCAGGAGCGGCCGCCGTACGAGCCGCCCTTCGTCGCGGCCTGCACGACAAGGTTGCGCCCGACATCATAGCCGTCGGTCGAGATGGTGTGGCTCTTGCTCACCGCCTCCTCTTTGGACGTGGCGAGGAACCAGGCGCCAGTGTCCGCGAGCGAGCCGTTCTGGCGCCACGCTGCGGTCAGCGGCGCTCGGCCGCGACGTACCGCGGAAATGGTTTCCGCCCACGAGGCTCTCCCAGCATGTGCCGATGTACACGCCCGGCGAGCCGTGGTACATGAGGCTGCGGTACTCGAACAGCTGCGGGACGTACCCGTGGCCATCCCCCAGGTTCGCATGCTGGAGCCCACCAAGGTGGATGTGCAGACACTCGAACGAGAACCCAATCGAGCGCGCATAGTCCAGCAGCCCCTGGTCGCTGAGGACGCTCGCGTCGGACGCGCCAGACAGGATGACTGCGCGGTGAGGCGCCGCCGCACGAAGACGTACCCTGCGGTCAGCGACGCGCCGTCTGGCACGCACATTGATTGGTTCGCGGAACCCCGTCCCGACCAACTGCGGTCAGCGCGCCCGCCGCCGACGCACGTCAAGCATGCTCCCTCCGTGCTGCGCGGGATCCACCCACCCATGCGCAGCCTTGGCCCCTGGGCGCACGTTTTTGTCCAGTGCCAGCCCACGGTGCACATCGTCCGAGTCGTATTTCTCGATGCGCCCCGGCTGCCGTGCGGCAATAAGCTGCACCTGCTCCGGGTCCACATATGGGACGACGTGTGTGCTGCGTGCCAGAGCACACATGACCAGGGCGCACACGCCGGCCACCAGATTGAGCGGAGACATGGAGGTCGGGGGGGAAGTGAATACCTCGCTCGTCGATCGTATTTTGACACGCACAGGCAAGGCAATTTATTTTTGTCCCGATCTGTGATTCATTTTGTGCACGAGCCAAGAGGGGTAAGGAAAGTTGACGAGGGGGTAAAAGAGGAAGAGGCAGGGAAGGGAAAAGAGGGGGAAAGGGGGGACGGGAAGGAAGGGGGGAAGGAAGAGGGGGGCAGGGGAGGGGATGGGAAGAAAAGGTGGGAGAGGAACGAAGGGGGACGGGAGGGAAGGAAACCAAGAGGGGGAGTGAAGAGCACGAAGAAAGGAGAAGAATTAGGGAGGCGCAAAAAAAAAGTGCGTTACGCAGCGCGGATGATGCGAACGGGAGTAAGGAAAAGAGTGCAATGGTAGCGGACTGGTACCACCTTCTGCTCCGTACAATGCGAGGAGAAAAGTCGACCAAAAAAAAAATAACTACCAACACTACACAGTCCTCCCATGTCCCCCACCACCACGCGGAGGAACTCTCCTATGCAAGGACCGCCATTACTACGCAAGGGGCAACTTGGGCGGCCGTGGCGGCCGCGCAGCAGACGCCGAGCCGGACGCTCCCGTAGCTGCGGGGGTCGGCTCGAGCGACGTGGTGGGTGCAGCGAACGAGGGACCAACGCCAGCATGCGGGAGCGAGGCGTCCCCGTCCACATGCCGGGTACGCAAGTCGTCCTGCATGTCACTGGTGGGCGTCTCCTGCTGCTTGTAGTGGCTCTTTAGCTTCTCCTTCTCCTCCACGGCACGGAGCTCCGATTTGGTCAGATACGGCGTCCCCGGGGACACTGGTGACGGCGCGCTGTCCACGGCGGGAGACGCAAGCGCGTCGGACGCAGGCTGCTTCGGTATGCTCAGCCGCTGCGCAGCCGGGCGGTCAGCGACGGCGGGGCGGTGGGCGACGGCATCCTGCGCTGCGTAGTAACGCTGCATCTGCGCCTTTTCGTCGTCCGCGGACGGCAGCGTCGCTGCGCCCGTCGCTGCGCCCGTCGCAACACCCGTCGCAGGACCCAAGCCGCCAGAGGCCGCGCTGCCCCACCCGTCCGCGCGCCCATCCACGAGCTCCGCCGCGGCTGGATCGTGCCCATGGAACGAGACCACCTCGCGCCGTGCGCGTTCGTACAGCGCCGATTTCTCCTCCTCCGCGTTCGGGAACCGCGGCGCGCCGAACGCCGACGACGACGCTGCGCCCGCGGTGCCGTCCCCCGCACCTGCGGCGGCATTCGCCGCGCCCGGACGCGCATCGGGAAACGAGGCGCCGTGCGGATACTGCGCCTGGAACTGCTGCGCCTCGGAGCGCGCACGTTCAAAGAGACGCTGCTTCTCCGCCTCCGCGGACTGGAACGAGGACATGGGCACAGGCGCGGGCCACTGCGTCGCGGTCGACGTCCCGCCCAAGGCGGTACCGGACGCGTCCGAATTCACGGCGCGCACGCCGCTCCAGGACGCGCGCGTGGCGAGCGGATCGGAATCGGTCCTGTCAGGGTCCGCATACATCTGCGTCGCCCGGCGGCTCGCAGGCGCATATGCCTCGCCCCCGTACACATCCCGCGGCGTCACGCAGCCGGACGATGAGACGATCTCGCCGGGGCGCACACCAGCCTGCAGCTGCGAGGGCGAGGCGGGCGCATCGCGCGGCGTGGACACGGGCCGCGCATTGTCCGCATCCGCGCCGCGCTGGAAGACGAGCGGGCCGCGCGGCGTCGGCGTGCCAAGGACGAGCGCATGGTCCGAGTCGAACGCGGGCATCGGGACCATGTTGTCCACCGCGAACTCCTGGTACTCGTCAAAGGGGCGTGCTTCCTGCGCGGCGCGCCGCTCCTGTGCAGTGGGTGCGGCGACGCGCGCGCCAAACACGTCGCTCTGCGCGCCGCTCTGCGCGCCGCCCTGCGCGTCGCCGAACGTGTCCGAGGCGTACGGCGACGTGGGCGCGCGGCGCGCGGCCGCGGGGAGGTGGTGCGGTGAGTCGTCCGCGCCGTCCACGAGGGAGAGCGCGGGGACGGGACCGATGCGCGCGACCGTCGCTTCGCTGACGTTCGCGGCAAAGTTAGACACCTGGACGGGCATGTGGTCGAGGACGACGTGCTCCTTGGCGATGTCCGCGACGATGCGGAGACTGTGGTGAGCGCGGCGCGCGCGGGACGTACGCATGGGACACCTCGAGATGCTTCGCGGTGTCCACGGACATGATCGCGCGCGACTTGGGGAGCGCGACCGCGAGATCGTACATGAGGAACTCGCCGCGGTAGATCTTCTTGCGCACAGACTTGGTCTTCGTGACAAGCACGTCCGTGCGCTGCTGCGACGGGGCGGGCTGGCCGCTGTCGGCGCCCTTGGAGGTGTGGAACGTGACTGTCTGGCGCACGCACATCGTGATGCCCTTCAGCTTCGCGGGCGATATCGCGCTGCTGTACACGATGACGCGCGCTTCGACGAGGTCGCCGGGCGCGAACATCTGCTTGTTCCGGTACAGCTTCACGCGGAAGTCGCCCTTCTGCTCCTCAAACTCCT